CTACTCTGTGTCAACAGGTTGTCATTGACCTCTGACCTCCATATTTAAACAGACATGAATATGACAGAACTGCTAATGTTGTGAATTGCGCGGAGCTGTCCTCTTCCAGGAACGTAGGTCTGTTTGCTGCTCAGTTTAAAGACTGTGGGTTTAAAACAATGGAAAATCAGTCGCACACTCAATGCGCAAGCAGGCACACCCACGCACCAGATCTTCGCCCCATGTAGAGAGCTACTTTAATTGCTTTGTTTCAATGGTCCCCTCTGAGTGGGAGAGAAGCTGGGGGCTGCAGTTTACAAGACACATCTGCAGGTGTTGCATTTCAAACTGAGAAACTCAAGCTGTGAGAAAAAAACACATACACTAACACAGGCACACAGATAGAGGGATACAGAGATTGTCTCTTTCTCTCTCACATACACACACTGCAGGTGCAGCACTGTTCAGTACCTTCCTCCACGGTATCGAGCCTGAAAATGCTGGCACATCTGAGCATCTGAGCAAGGTGAAATTGAAAATCTCTTAACATCTGTGTCTCTTTCTATAAAAATACTGACTTTAATGTGAGACAACGCAAAATATATGACAAGACCAAGCTGAGGCGCAGTATATTGAGCACAGACGTGTCAAATCGAGAGAAAGAATGTGCTTATCAATGGGGCTCCTGCAATGTGGCTGACGCTTCCCAGTAGGCATTTCACACTAAAAGTCTGCCAGAGCCATAAATACCACCAACTAATGTGGCTTAGGGTCATGAAGGTTTTAGATAACTTCTCTATGGCCAGTGCACTTTGTGAAAAACTACTTTACTTTGTTGCCACACAGCCAGTGGTACACATCATCTCCCCCCATAGACTCCGTAGAAAATAGCTCGTTCAGAACTACTTTCGCCCGTTTAATTCGAAAACCTCTCGGAGCAGTGTCTCTATGAGAATCAAATCTGTTTGTTATAGCTGAGAGTGGAGTAGTTTGGAGGATCTTGGGTAGCGTGTCTCCTAATTCACAGAAAGAAAGAGCAATCAGCTAAGCTTCAGATGGCATCCGACAGATTCAATCTCTCTTTTTTCTTTCTCTTTTTTTTTCAAGCATCTCCATTGTAATGTTCCCACACACTGGCGTGCACGCCGCATTGCACACATTTCTGATAATCTATGCAAATAGGCCACAGATGGACAAGAATGTATCTAATTGAGAAACATATGTGTGGCACTTATAAAAATAATAATTCTTACATCTCCCTTTGCTTTTTGTCCTCATCCTATTTCTGTCATCCTTCATTCATTAAGAGTTACGTGTTACTGTGATGCTGGCGCCTTGCCACACCGTTTTGTGAAATTATTCAAATGAGGACAGCATGTTTCTTTTGTTTACTGCCTTGAATGGCAACACAGAGACAAGGTTGGAGTATTCAGGAACGCCATTTCTCACTCTCGCGCTACAACTACCACCTCCTTCTCCCCGACCCCCCCTTGCCTCTGTGACTCCTGCTGCAGCATTGGAGGAACGTCCCAGGCATTACGAGAAGCCATTAATGAGTGTGTGGCGTGGCGTGTTGTGATGCGCGGCATATTACAGCCATTCATCAGAGCCAGGAGACACTTGACAGGCGGACAGCCAACAGGTTGTGTAATCATATAACACAGCCATGTCAGGCCTGCCACGGCTCCGTGTCCCATTCAGGCCTCTAATGTTATTTTCCTCTGGGTAATTGACGACGCCAGACAGAGACCCAGTGATGGATAACATCATGGACCAACCGGCGCATAAAAGATGGCGGCCTACTGGAGTGATATCATTTTAGATTACATCAACATTTGGAGATATTTGAAGGAAAATTACGGTTTATTATAACTTGGGTCTTATTTTGGTTGTTTTGGCCACTATATCTATTGGTAATGATAACTTTGTACTCATTTTGGTAATTGCTGAGATCTGGGAACATGACGATATCATTGCACAAGAAAATGTTTAGAACGGACAGTTTGGATGATAATTTATTCTTTCCTTTGTTTTGTCTTCCAATTAAATTTGGTTAGCCTGGGGGTTTGTTTACATCCTGAATGATCATCTGACTGCTCCTGTTTCTTGTCCCATCTGACTTATTTTTAGTAGATCTCATCAATACAATGTTACTTTTGTGAAAAAGCAAGAAAAAGCAAGAAACCACAGCCAGGGTAACACTTTCCTGATGCCTCCTGATCTATTTCAGTTGTACACCAACCCCATGTATATTACTTATTAGGTTTAATGAGTCATATTTGTGTGAACGAAGAAAAAAAAAAGAATCTAAATCTATTAAAGAAAACCATTATAAGAGATGAATCTAAGTTATTACATTAATTATGTCAAAACATGACAAAGTAAGTGTTACTCTGGTAATTATAGTGTACTGAGAATGCCATCTGACACTGAGGAATGTGTTGCAAATATTCCAACTCCTCAGTACAACACAACTCTCAGCTGCATCAGAGAAGAAGAGGTGGCCCTAAGGCAGTGTTAGACGTTGTTAAGGATAGCAAGTATCCTCACACAACCTGTTCTGCTCTGTCCCTAAGCTGGAAAAGAGAAGACAATGTTCTCTCTCATCCTCCCACTCTCACCACTTTATACCTCTGCTTGTTTGTAAGATGCCTCTTGCAGCAACAATCCAAAAAAGGCCAGCTTGTGTATGTGAAAAATGGGCTATGAGACGATAACCACAATGAATATAACCAGCAAGGATAAAAATACATATTCCTGTCGTTTGAATATCATCAGTCTCCTAAGCTGCAGCGCCCTGAGGTGAAACTCCTTAGAGAATGAGTCTTGATTAGACTCATATTCTGCTTCGTTCTGTCTTCGTCTATGTCTCTCACCCGCTCTCTGCCACAAACATACCAATAATATAACAATATCTACATACACGCAGTAGTTCTTATGCCCTTCTATCCACCATATGAATAGATTTACCTCAGAAAAACCTCTGCGGAAGAAAAAGATGGAAAGACAGGAGGGGCAGAAGAGGAATGAACAAAACGGAAGAGGGTGTTGGACGCAAAATGGAGGGAAAGATATAGACATAAATGAAAAAGACGGCTGGAAATGGGATGCTAATTTCCATGGTGTGAGCTAATCCCTCGGAGCTGCAACATCCTTTGCAGACAACACACCAAAGGAGCATAACCCAGCTGGAACATGCTCAGACTACATCAACAACATCCACTAATTTGAAAAAACTACGTGCACATACACAACAATGACAAGTCTGTCCACGCTACATTTTTCAGATAGTCTCAATTGGTTTCAACGGTAACTGTTGAGCTGCAATGTGCATGTCAGCTACAGGGGCTAAGTGCATAGGCTCCGTAGCTAAGCCATAACCCTTACATGCAGAACTATAAATTTCACCTTGAGTGTGGACACAACACATCGAAGGAATCCACCCAGCCCGTACACACTCGCTCACACACTCTTCCTCTCTCCTCAATCTCAACTCCATCGCCTCACAACGGCCACAGTGTTCAGTGTCAACAGTGGTCACACTATGTGGTGCTAACATTAAAAATGCATCCAATTAAAGCTGCAGGGGAAAATACTCCTCTGTAAACGGCAACAGTCTGTAACATGTTTGCAGCGATGATAGGCTTTCTAAACAAATTAAGCCAGAGGAGCTCTACATTACTCATCCTGGCTGGCTGTCTGGCCAAATTCTACCTCAATTGCACAGTTGTTTGATCAACTGTTGGTGCGCTGTGTACGTGTTAATGTGAGAGAAGGAGAAAAAAAAAACAGATATGAGTCCATCGATACCAGGCAAGATGAACACAGTACGACAGCAGCAGAGAAACACAGTAAAACTTGTCTTCCTATACTTTCATATGTCTGCAGTCATGTGCTGTCACATTCTGCAGCTCTGTTCTGTCGGCTGGCAGTGTCTCTCTTTCTTTCACTGTGCATTACTTGTCACTCCGCCGATGGTCGGCACGCGTGTATTTCTGTGTGTGTGTGTGTGTGTTAAACCTGTCGCTTTCTGTGCTCTGACGTCTGTGTGCTTATCGCTTTGGCTGATCCCCGCTAGTCGTGCATGTGTGTACAGTATCTGTGTCTGTCTATCTGCATATACGTGCACATGTGTGTGTTTTTGTGCGAGGCAGATGTTCCCCGGGTAGTGCCACTGCTCAGTGTTCACACACACACCGTACTGCGGAAGATTAACCAGCACTTTATTTATCCATTTGCCCCCACCACCACCCCCCAGTACTCCTTAATCCCTGGTAGCAAAGAATAGAGGAGGAAAGGCAAAAGGAGTGTAAAACTAGAGCTAGGTGGCAGAGTTTTGCACCACTCTGGACATACTTCAAAAAGTATTTCTGGTTCGCTGATATTCAATTTAAAATAAAATCACTATAATGTGCTACCTAAAACAACAGCCTGAAAAAAGCAGCCTGTAGTTAATGTAGTTAATTTTAGAAATAGAGTCAAGTTAAAGTAGGAAAGAGTCTACAGTCAGGGCTATGGTTACACAGTCCAGAAATGCACTAAATCGGTAAGCTACACTTGCATTTACTTTTTGTCACTCTGTGTTAACACATGAATATTTTTCTACACTCCCCACTTTCCCAGATCAGTCCACTGTAAAAAACAAAACAAAAAAAACAACCAGAAAATGTGACTTTTTGGGAAATGAATGGTTCTTCAATCATAGCATCATGGTTTTGTTCAATTCTCAAAGTAATGACAGTGGCCAGAGGCTTCTCGGTGGGGACTGGCTGGGTTTTTTTGGACAGAGCCAAACAAGATCCTGCACAGCTCCTCATAAACAGCAGCTGCAGACTGCTCAGTTCCCAGTTCCACCCCGTCCGCCAGCCCAGGAGGGTCCAATCAAAACCAGCCACATTACTCCCTCACTTCGCCTTTGCGTGCCAAGTCTGCTCCGTGTCAGGAGGGGGAAAAAAGCCAGGACGGAACCAAAGAGCGTGCACATACACTGAGCTGTGGATTAAAAGAAAAAATCTATTTACCTGTGTGAACTTTGACCTTGGTGGTACTGCCGCTGTGGTTGCCACCCCCTCCCCCACCCTGCCCTTCATGTATTCCTCTTGCACGGTCGCTCACTGACCCCTCCTTAAGCGGTGATCTGAGGGGAAGGAAGACAGAGGAAAAGGCTGTTAAATTTCTTTTAATGGAATGCCAGGGAGAACCTGGTTCAGACAGAGGACAAATGTATCACAGAGAAATACACCCCGGTGCTGAAAAATGTATGCAGGAAGCCATGAGGGAGTTTGCTATACTGCCCCATTTACTCTACCTCCTAACCCTGCCGGAAAGCCAATGAACCAATGAACAACTGCACCACCTATCACACTGCCGTGACTGTATACTGCAGCAGTCCTGTATGTCCCCCCTCCCCACGCGACCCCACCCCCCACCGTACAGGAACAATGTCCTTCCTAAAGGTTATCAGCAGCCTGGCTCTTTGGTCAGCCCTCATCCTGAGTCCATTACACACACAGCGACGAGATTCACTGCCTTAATACACCTCTCTTAGTCTCTCCTCACTGCTTCGCTGCTCCCTTTACAGGCTGATACAAATCCAGCATAGGCCCAGAACACACACACACACACACACACACAGGTTCTGGGATTAGCCTTCCAGCACATTGCCATTCTGTCTGCTGGCATCTGCAATACACTTCAAATCGATTTGGTGTTTTGAAGTTTCATTACGAAAAAAAAAACTATGAAGAAATACCATATTAGTCTATGATACAATGCTGATTTCAAAACTAAACCCTCTCCCCTCCCTATGCAAGATTTTTTTAGCCAGGCTTTCGACATTAGTACCATAATCAGGTCAAACATTCAATTTGTCCGACACTAATGACCAAATACCTGCTGAACTAATCGCATTTCCATCAACCTCAGCTGTACTTTGTGTCTGGTGCTAATAAGCGAAATGTTGCTTATTTTTGCATGCTAACAGGTTAACCAGGTCAATACTACACTCTAAACATCAGCATCAAACATTGTTACAGTAAACATGTCAGCATGCTGATGTTAGCATTTAGCTCAAAGCACCACTGTGCCTAAGCACAGCCTCATGGGGCCTCTAGCATGGCTGTAGACTCTAGTAGCAGTCATGTTTTAGAATAAGAAACACTTTAGAAGACAGAAGAATTTGGCTATTCAGCACACTTTAAATGTATTTCTTACGTTTAAAATATATGACAATACATTTCAAACATGTTTTATAGTAACACTGGATCAAATGGCTACATGTAATGTGAAAGGGGTCGATTATTACCTGACTCCCTCATCTCTATGGAGCTTTTTAGTATCTCTGATTTCCTGAGTTAACTTCCAGACAGAGAAAGTTAACTGGTCAACATAGTGGGGCATCAAGCAGTTAAAGTGTCAAGTATTTCCCTCAGGAGTTGGTGGAGAACAAAGACAGAGCTAAAAGAAAGTGGATATTGGGCTTTTGCTACAAGAACAACTCCAAGTTGTGTGCCTATGTTGCTGCGTATCGAATAGTACTGTGCTAATAAGTTTGCCATAACTACTTGAGGGAGTGATAATATATCAGTGTTGTGTTTACAGCTTGTTGTCCTGGCCCCAAGTAGCCAACAAATCAATAAATGCAGGTTTAAGTGAAAATCACTAAGACATTAAAACAAAATAACTATCAAAAATAAAGTAAAGAGAGACTTTACGTGACTGTTAGCTTAACTTTTTTTAAACGGTCCCTTTGGGCTCACTGTCTTCTTACTTGACACACAACAATTTTTTGCCACTTGATTAGACAATGCAATAAAGAAGTTGAGAGATGCTTTTTATTTCTTTTAAATTTATTTTCCTCTTCCACTTGTGTGGCTAACTAACTCGAGCAGACACACTGTAAATTGACTGGTACAAAGTCGTTAATCTACATTAAGGTTATAAACAACCCATGATACAAAACCGAAAGACACAACACCAGCATCTGCATCTGCATCATTTTAAGAGACTAACAATTATATCTAGTCTAGTCTTTATCTTACGGCCTTCTGGCAAAGACAGTCACCTAGGAAGAGACACTATTCTCTTTTCTCTCCCATTGTTTCATCACTTACAATCTGGTGCAAACAAGCTTCCTCTGCTTCAGGCTGCTCTTATAGACATTTTCCAAGAGGTACAGTATATATCTTGGCACAGAGTTGAAGACATTTTGACCAGCGGGACACAGCCATTCTTAAAAAACATTGTAAAGTGGAGAAGATTTAATATCGGTAATACTGGAAGGGACTGAATTGTTTTAGTGCATCTTTGTCTGCCCACACCTTAGGTACAGTTTATCTTTTGAAAACATCACACTTGATCAAAATAGAGTTAATAGTACCTCACACACTGAGTGCATTTCCACATGGCAGAACTTTGCTGAAGTTATGATAAAAAGAAGGCGTTCACACTTGATGTTTAAAATGAAAATGTGTGTGTGTGGGGGGGGGGGGGGTTATTCCATACATCTTAGCACCTGCTCATTCATTTCATCCAGGGGAGCATACTGAAGAACACGCTGTGGGAAGAGGAGGTTGATTTTGGACTGAGGCCAAAAAGAAGAGGACAGGGCGGAGGAGAAACCCATAAATACGCAGGGAGGCGAGCAGGTGTCGCAGACAAATGTGATTTACAGGGTCTATGTCCCATACAGTGCTGACAGGTAAGCCTATTAGGTTGATATTACCCAGCTATAACACGCACCGATGGACCCTCTTAAAAACGTGTGTGCAGCGAGTGTGTAAAGGTTATGGGTTTAAGAGAAAGATTATAATATCACATTGTTAAGCTGGCCATACATTACGTTCTAAAAAATTCAATTATTATATTAAGGCAGATTTTTCATTGATTTAATTCATTCTGTTACATCTTTTTTCAAGGTGACGTCATTTAGCAAACCATTCAAGGGAGATATGTTTAGCATCCTTAAGGTTGGTAAATAACAATATGTTTTTTTATTACAGCCTACACTGGAAGAGCAAAACTGGGTAAATGTTTTTCCTCATATTCTGAAATGACATCAGGCTTCAAAGCCAAAGAGTGAGAGAGAGAGCTAAATACTGAGATGGCAGTGCATGTCTGCATATTGGAAACTGCCGGGGAGCAATCACTGAAGAATGCAAACGTTTATGAGAAACTAAATGCACTAGAACATCGAGCGGAGATCTGCAATCGAGTTTCACTTGTAATACCGCATGAGAGACACGAGACTACAAGAAAATTGCTACCACTTGAGCAGCACACTACAGATGGTGTTGAGAGCAACACAGCACAAAGCAATGTGTTCCTTAATAATGTGGTGAATATTGCAGTGAAAAGCTGAGTGCTCCGTACTTGCTTTTGCAGACTCCAGCTTTTTTTTTTTTTTTTCCCTGTCAGAAGTGTGAACTCTTTCATCCCGGATATAAGAGGCTGCGGTAAAATCCTCAAAGAAACTAATCGTGTTAAATGAGGTCTGTGTCTGTATCTATGACTTCTGAGTGTGTGTGTGTGTGTGTGTGTGTGTGTGTGTGTGTGTGTGTGTGTGTGTGTGTGGGCTGGTGGGGGGGTTATAGGTGCCTCTGAGAGACAAAAAATTCCTGTCGCCTTTGAATCTAAACTCTGTGTCAACTCTCCACTCGAGCCGGTCGTCTCCTGTTTCATAATCGTGCTTGGTATTACTCTTCAATCCTGGTAATCGTATCTGATGATGTGGCTGCTCATTGACTGAGGTAAACCAATTTTCTGTGCAAAGTCTTTAAAGTATTTCAAATGCTGGAGATGACAAAGCCCAAGTTTGCCTGTTAAAAGCCCTTAACACCACAACGTTTACTTTAGCTTCCTGGGGGGAATCCTAGTCCCAAGCGGCTGCTCAAGTCATACAGACAGACTCACTCACACGTGCACGCACGCACATCTTATCATCCAAGGCTGAGGAAGCAGGAGAGCTATAAAAGCCGACCTCATCTCCTTAAAACAGGCAGGGCTGTCCCTGGGCGTCTTAACACAACTCATCAACTGTTAAACCAGAGAGAGGCAGAGCAGTAAAAATCAATGCCCCCCAACACGGCAAACAGCAGTCAATGATGTTAGGTGGAAGAGGAAAGAGCGAGAATTTGCAGCAGCGTCTCGAGCTGTAAGGAGAAGCGAGGAGGAGGGAGAGGAGGAAGAAGAAAAGTCCATGTTAAGCTAAAAGCGGCAGGCTAATATATGTAATTGATTACCTCTATGCAAATAGAAGAACTCTAAAAACCAGAGAATGCAATTTAAAGCAGCAGAGTCTCTGAAATCGATTGGCGCTGTGAGTGAGAGAAGCCATTTCCCTCTAGCCAAGATAAAACACTTTACTAGGAGCTGTCAGATACTTATCAGGAGGAAATTAGCAGAGGAATACCATTTTCCCAAAACAAACAGGTCAAGTGTTTCTCCCCCTCCTTGAGTGGTCTCTCCCTCTCCTTCACTCTCACCCACTCTGATATCATCATCTGTTATTTCCTCCCGTTTAAATGCCAACAGTGAAGAGGCCGGGGCTGCATTTCATTCAAACAGATCATTTGTAAAAAAAAAAAAACACGCAGGCAGGCCCTGCGCGCCGGCAGGAGCAGGTTGTTATTTGAAACGGAGAAGATGAGGTCTCCAGTTTGCCTCGGCTCCCGGGAGCAACCCCAGAGCCTGCCAGCGCCCGCACGTACACACTGACGCAAGTCCGTCCTGAATCTCCGAGCCAGATCTCACCAAAACACTATTTGCGTTTTTGGCCTGCAGTCTGTGTTCTTGGCTGAAAAAAAAAAAAAGGAAGAAAGAAAACACACATAGAACAGAGCACAAAGAGATGTGACGAAGGCAGCAGCCCACACAAGACAGCCTCGTCAGAGAGAGAAGAGGGCAGCTCGGCGTCAACATCAACACCGGTTCTGCAGTCATCGCTCAGCAGGTAATTATGATAACAACGTGTTCCCTAGGCAGCTTCTCTCTGATTTAGTTTCCGAGCACTTACCCTTCCTAAAATCTCCTCCTGATAACATCTGATATGATTACAAAGTCAAGATCCTTTTCAAGGAGCGCCCACTTATGTGCCTCTAATTTGGTGTATAGTAACTCTCCCTCTTGTGACTACTCAAT